GCTCGTAGATGATGATAAATAACATAGTTATGTATAATATATTACATTTCTGACTGTATATCCCTGTAATTATTACACACTGTAGCTTTAAAAACTAGTAAAAGTCATATTTGGTTTGTGAATAGCCATGAGGCACAATCAAACTGTAGAACAAAATGCTCATGCATCCTCCAGATACAGAGGGGGCTGTTATGTTCAACAGAGGAAATGCCTGCCATGCCTCATTCCATGACAGTATAAAAGCTGCACTTGTTTTAAAATGCAATGAAAGTATTTTCTGTTGGTTTTGCAATGAGTTGAGATTGTGATCCCACCCCCTCGGATCAGTTATTTCACAATTTCACTGTACTCACATTATGACTTGATGGTCCTTAAATCTATGAAAAGCTGCATGCACTTCATTTAACATTCATTAACTGGTTGAGGAAGCATTTTGTAGTCAAACTGAAATTTAGAGCAAAAGATTTGACTGAAGGCTGTGGAAGATCAGACCTAGAGTTTTAAAAGACTACAAGAAGGCACCTCACTCCCTTCATTTCTGTCAGTATGAAGCTCCCAACTCTCATTTTGCCATTTCATCTTAACCACTGGGCTAAACTGGGCATAGGCACCAAGGAGCAGGGAGTCCATCTAATTACTAAACCTTTGGGATGTAATACATAACTGACTTACAATTAAAGGTATGAAGGACAATCTTTCATTTGTGGGTGGGTCATCTAAATAATCTTTAATGGTGAGAAGAATAAAGAACAGCCTTCCTCTGGTTCTGTTTGCAAATACTGACACTCAACAAACCCATTATGCTATCATCTGAATACAGCCCATTTAACCGCCTGTTTAAAGATGCAGCACAAAATCTCTCCTAGCAATGAATGCTGGATTATACTTAAAACTAGGGACAATATTATTATTGGAAATTGGTCCAATATTACCCAAAAAAAAGACCTGATTTTATCGGCCAACATCTGAAATCTGATATTTTCTTGCTGAAAGAAACACTCTGCTTCTGTAACTCATTGGTTCTTTTTCCATGGTTCCGGTGTTTACATAACTTTTGTTGTGAACTTTTTCCCCTGTTTTAGTAATATTACTTCATCAAGACTACTTACTTCATCGCGTTAAAATAACTAACAAAACCTGGTATAATTTGTGTTAATATTGCATAAGTTCAATATCGGTATGCAGGGGTTGACGTTAAGGCTTTCACATTTAATTTATCCAGAAACAATTTTTACTTGCCCAGTATAATGTTTGATAAATATAGTTCCTAATATTCTTTTTTTGTATATATATCAATGAAACATGTTTGTTTTTTGTAATTCAGTATTTTTTAAGTTTCCAAGTTCCTGGTGTGTATATACATGCGTCAGATAATGAACTCAAGCCTACATTACTGTGTTAACATGCTTTTCAATCCTTCCTGCACATTCTTTTCAAGCTAAACTTTGCTTTAAACTGTTGTGTGCTTGGAAAAATATAAATTGTTATGTTAAAAATCTAAAAAAACTTGACAGGTTAAAAACGTACGCTACTGCTACTCACCAATTTAACATGTTTAGCTCTATAACATTTAAATGCACTACTCCAATGTCTAAGAGAAAAACATTGAATTAACATTTTTAATGTATGACCTGCATCACTGTACAGAAGACTGCCATATGATAGAAATATTTACACTGTGCGCATACAATTATTATTAATATTTAATCATTTATAATCTAGCGTGTATTATAGTATAGATTAAATTCATCATCCAGCTGCTGCTCTGCAGAATTCTCTCCCCAAGAGCTGAATCACGCCATCTAGAGGTAAATCATGCGGCTTTTTCAAATCACGCGAGAATGTGTACAAAACAACAAAGATGGCGCCGGCAACGCTTATGGGTCATTTTCAGCGAATGTCAGTGATTTTAAAGTAATTTTGAGTGACAAATAACTTTATTTTGCAATCATTGCACTTGCCCGGCGTTCAAATGCAATGAAATTTGTACTCTCCCGACAATAAAAACTACTTGCCCCGGGCGATCGGGCGATGGTTAACTTCGAGCCCTGGTATGTAACGGAAAAATTTAGTTTTATCGGGACACAAGAAACCGAAGGCAAAAGATTTATCACAGATAGAATCAACTTCGTTGAAACAAAGTGGTAAATTGTATGAAAGCGTGTCACAGCGACACACGCTGACTTTAAACGTTCTCCGTACATTGGAAATCAAAAAGTTTTTCCACATATTTCTTTTTTTTTTTCCAAATTTAGAACCCAAATAGGTTCCTGTTTTTTTAAATCTATTAAATATGTATATTTATCAATGTATAAAAAATAGTTTTTGTATATTCAAAAAATTATTCAATATACCTGCAACAATAAATTGTTAAAATATTCTGATATACTTTTTTTTATTCAACATATTGAAAAAAAAAAAAAAGTAGACTGACATGTAAAAATAAAAAAAAACAAGAGGATGTTGCATATTTTTTTTTACATACAAGAGAAAACTAAGGTTTTCCTTTTTTTATTTTGCCATTTATCAATTAATAAATTGTTGATAGATAAGAAAAATCATCTTTAGATTAATTAAATATTAGACAACTTGCATCTCTACTAAACATACATTTAAAATATAATAACCAGAGTGTTTTAAAGCCCCAGCTCTTCTTTTAATACTAATAGTTTGCACCAATGCATTTCTCTAACCAAACATTTGACATGTTTACATATTCAGCATCTCTAAAACCTTCCTCCATGTCAGTTTATTATAAATAAACCCAGATCATAAACCTTTCATTAACGGCTTTTTCAGTCGTCACTCGGCATGGGGTCTGTTTTTTGGTAGTTTCCTTGAAGCACCAGCATGTGTAAATTAATTAGGAGTCTTTTTTGAAAAAAAATCAGGAACAAAGGCATTT